AGCGCCCTAACCACCTGGCCATGCCGGGCCCTATCTGCGCTAGTCATCCCTAATTTAGAAATGACAGGCTAGAGGGAAGGCAGCTAGTCAACATCACTCACTGCCAACTCTTGGGCTACTCTTTGACCAAGGAAAATTTAGGTTGACCGTCACATTAACAGTACCCCCAACGGCTGAAAGGGCAAGCATGTTCGGTGACAGGATTGGAACCCATGACCCGATGATTGCGAGTCGAGTTCCCTAAACACCAGGCCATGCCAGGTTCTAAAATAAATTTGAGAAAATCACTAGCACACTTGTAAGTTTTTAGTACATACCCTCTCTCGACTCTCAATCTGCATATAGCGAGTTTAAATTCCCGTCACCAAACATGCTCGCCCTTTCAGTAGTGAGATGGACCGTTCTAATAATACGGTCAATCCCTCTATTCGTTGGTAAAAGAATAGCCCCAGAGTTGGCGGTGTGTGGTGATGCCTAGCTGCCTTCCATCTAGTCAACCACTGCTAAATTAGGGACGGCTAGCGCAGATAACTTTCGAGCGGTTTTGGTAAGATTAAAATAAAAAAAAATATCTCACTATAAAAATAAGCGATAAAAGTGAAAGGTTTCTTATAATAAGAACGGCTATGCGTGAAACAAATGTAGAGACAGCTAAACAATGGCTCGTACTACCTTAAAATTATTAAAAACCATTCTAAAAAGTTTGATAGCAGATGTAAAAAACCTAAAAACCCTAAAAAACGAGCTATTTACTAACTTCATTAATTTTAAATTATAAATCCACTAAGGCACGTTTTCACGAAAAAAACTTAAGATTTTTCTTATATTATTTCACAAGTTAATACTTAAGATGAAAGTTAAGAATTTCTTAAGTTATTTCCTAAGCTGTTTTACGAAGCTGTCTTAGTTATGTCTTCTCTAAGAACGATTTAAGAAGTATCTTAAAAACATAAGGTATCAGGAATACATGGATATTTTAAATCCAGTTGGATGGTCAGTTACGTTAAATACAAAGTGTCCTAATATCGTATTAACTTTTTAAATCCAGTTGGAGGGTCAGTTACGTTAAATACAAAGTGTCCTAATGTCGTATTTTAAATCCAGTTGAATGGTCAGTTACGTTAAATACAAAGTGTCCTAATGTCGTATTTTAAGTCCAGTTAGATGGTCAGTTACGTTAAATACAAAGTGTCCTAATGTCATATTAACTACACTTTTTTATTTTTCATAAACGTAATGTATCCTTCTTTTTTATTTATTTTAACAAAATACTTTTCAATTAATTACAAATAAATAATAACCTAAAGCACTATAAGTCATGGAATAATACTTTTTCAAGCCGCGAGACTTTTTAGTCTTGTTTAATAACTGTCACTTTCTTTTTTTTCAGTTACTAAAATATCTTACTTTAACATAATTTAATATATCGTGGAATTTATCTCAAATTAAAATTATCATTCTATACTCATTTAGACGCATATTTACCTATCTTAAAATTAGGAAAGACTTTAATAAAGTTCTTAAAGTATTTAACTTTTCATGGAAAGATCTTCCTTAAGCTGTGTTTTAGGAACGATTTGTTTCCTAAGATGTATTCGTGAAAATGGCTCCATTTTCTTTAGATGTACCAAAAGAACAGAAACCTAATGATACCGTGCTGCCCGTTGTTTCGTCTTGTAATTCATCAACTGAGATTTTTTTCCTGTAAAACGTTTTATCCTAATGAAATAGGAAGCCAAAACGTCAGTTAAATAAGTTGTTTGTTTGTTTGAAGTGTAAATTGTTTTTACTTATAGCACAAAAATGGAGGCGCCATTAATCTGACAGGTTGGCTACTTATCTAAATCAAAGAAAAATAAGAATGATTTCGCCTCTTCATCAACGGTAATGAAAAATCAACGTCGTTTACTGTAGAAGTACACCAATACTTAACTTGCAGATATTATGTAAACTGATGATGAATTAAACGAACTTATAAAAGTGTACAATAGACTTAAAGTACAAGTAAAAACTCTTAAATCATAGATGTCGGAATATGATAGTATGGGGGCGGGCAACATTCAATTCAGTCTCTCCATACCGATTGCGTTTTTGATCCAACTTAATAGCTCACTACAAACAAGTGACGATCCTATAATGAATTTGGAAGCTGGAAATAAGGTATCGAAAGGATAACAAGATTAAGATAAAACAAATAGAAGGTCGTATAAGCTGGAATAATTAGACTGCTCGTTTTCACATTGATTTTGTTTGTGATTTTTTTCTTCGCTTTTTCATCATAATTTAATCATCTGCTACAACAGAATCATAAAAAATAGTTTCGAGAGTATGTTTCCAATCCATTGTTTTCGCCTTCCTTCAAAGGTGCACTTCTGGTAAGCTTCATTTACTTCCAACTTTAACTCCCACATCGCAGTCCACATACACACACATTTTGTTTCTGACGCGGACCAGGTATGGCCTAGTGTTTTTGTTTTGTTTTGTTTTGAATTTCGCGCAAAGCTACACGAGGGCTATCTGCGCTAGCCGTCCCTAATTTAGCAGTGTAAGACTAGAGGGAAGGCAGCTAGTCATCACCACCCACTACCAATTCTTGGGCTACTCTTTTATCAACGAATAGTGGGATTGGCCGTCACGTTATAACGCCCCTACGGCTGAAAGGGACGAGCATGTTTGGTCTGACGGGGATTCGAAACCGCGACCCGCAGATTGCGAGTCCAGCGCCCTAACCACCTGGCCATGCCGGGCCATGGCCTAGTGATTAGCGTGCCCGAACTGTTACAAATTTGTAAAGGATTTATGGTTCGCGTTCCGTTGCTGCGCCAGATAAATCTCAATATTAGATCAAACAACAATAGCTCAAGAGTTGGTGGTGGGCATTGTTGACTAGCTTCCTTTTCTCTTGTCTATCAGTTCAAAATTAGGGAGAACTATGCGCTTGTATTTCTTGTATGTCTTTGCGAAACAATTCTAAAATAAAATTAAACAGTCGAGAAGCTTCCGAGACCTACGTTAAACGTAAAAATAAAAAATAAAAAATCGGTTTCTCATTAAGATCTTCGCGAAATGAAAAACCTGTACATTGTTACTTAATATTTATCTCGCGGGTTAATGTTTTCTTCACCATGTAAGTATTTGATATAGTTCATAAATAAATGAATAACTCGTATCACAAATCATTGCTCAACATTACTAAAAAATTATGTTCTTTTTTCATATCCTAATAACACCATTTGGACAGGAGTGCCAAAAGTTCGAGTTCTTTTACATCAGATAAATACTGATTTCATTAAAATCAAATTTTGCTCTTTATTTCCTAGCCTCCTAGAAGATAAACTAGCCTCCTAGAAGATAGTTTTTTAAAACATTATAAAAACAGAACATGTTTCTTAGTGCAACAATGATTGTGGTGTTGATTTTTTTTATTTCATTATCATAAACTTCATCGTGCCACAACGACGTTTCTAATGAATTTATTTAATTAGTTAACTTGACTTTAAAAGAGTACATTTTAAGAATAAAAATGCACAACTGACCGAGCAAGACTTTAACTACCAATAGATAACAATCACACTTCAACAATATTCCAATTGTATGGGACTACTTCCATTCTTTAACAATAAAAATTCAACTACAACCTTTGGAATCCGAATAACATTGTTCTAAATCTTGGTGTGCTTTTAAGCCCTGCAGAAAATTGGCAAATGGCCAAAGTGAAATCGATATAGTTGACAAGTGCTCCAAGAACTGAAGATTAAGACGTCTTCTTTTGTTGCTATTGGGGTTTTTTTTCCACAAAATCTTGCTCCTCTATCTGATATAACGCAATTACAAGAAAAGTTTCTTTTTTTTTGTCTCTTACATTCATTGTTATGTAAAGAAGTACAGACAGATCATTATTGGAGAATGTAAACATTTAGTAGAGTTTATGTTATTCAAAAGAGCCATTTTACTTTACTTATAAAGGGTTTGTAAACTACCAAACATTTTTCCTCAACACCGATGATGAATTAACAAGTGCTTATATTTGTTTCATATTTGAACCTTAATTTAAAGATTAAAAAAATTAGGAGTTTAGTTTTATTCTTCGTGTTAATGCGAATAGAAAGAACAAAAGACTGTTCTTAAGTGTGTGTTTTTTATTGTTTAATACTACCACTATTATCCACTACCACCCGAACATCACTCAGAAAAAAAAAAATATATATATATATATATACGTTCAAATATTCACTACTATCCGAACGTACGCAACTATTGGTCACTAAAAAAAAAAAAGACACAAGCAGTATTTTCTCCATTCAGACAGTGTACCACACCACCAGATATAAACCATGCTCAGTTGTTCCACACCACTTAAATATATACCATCCTCAGTTGTTCTCCACCACCGTGATATGAACACTGCTCAGTTGTTCTACACCACCTAAATATAGACCATGCTCAGTCAGTTGTTCCCCACCATTTAGATATAAATAATATTCAGTTGTTTTCCACCACCTAGATATACATATATATATATATACTATGCTCAGTTGTTCTCCACCACCTATATATATATACTATGCTCAGTTGTTCTCCACCACCTAGATATATATACTATGCTCAGTTGTTCTCCACCACCTATATATATACTATGCTCAGTCGTTCTCCACCACCTAGATATATACTATGCTCAGTTGTTCCCCACCACCTAGATATAAATAATACTCAATTGTACCCCACCACCTAGATATAAATCATGCTCAGTTGTTTCCTACCACTTAGATATCAATAATACGCAGTTGTTCCCTACCACCTAGATATATACTATGCTCAGTTGTTCGCCACCACTTAGATATAAATAATACTCAATTGTTCTCCACCACCTAGATATAAACCATGCTCAGTTGATCTCCGTCACCTAGATATAAACCATGCTTAGTTGTTCTCCACCAACCACATGTGAGCCTTTGATGATCCTGGCTACCATTTTGATCCAATACATTTAAACATTTCAGGTGAGAGCCACCGTATAGAGAAACGGAGCCCTACTTTTGTATACGAACCTCCGAGTCAGGTTGAGTTCTCGAATTCCACGGGTACGGTGATACCCTGTTCAGTTAGAGGTACCCCCACCCCTATGGTGAGGTGGGAGATCGGAGGCGGAACCCCAGCTAAAGATATCCGGGGGCTACGGCATGCTCGCCCTGATGGATCACTTGTGTTTTCTCCATTTCCAGCGGCTGAATACAAACAAGATGTTCATTCAGCAGTATACCGTTGTGTTGCCAGTAATACGGTCGGTAGCATAACCAGCAGGGACATCCATATTCGAGGAAGTAAGTGTTTTAACAAAAAGTTATTAGTGTACCTTTGAATATATCTTAATGTGTTAAAAATTCCCTAGTAACGAATCAACAATAACGTATTGTGTATTAACAATGCCTTAGTAGTGCGTCATTAAGTATATTTTAATGTTAACAATTACCTTGTAGTAAAAAACAATAACTTAGTAGTGCGCCATTAAGTATCTTTTAACGTTTTAACAATATTCTAGTAATGAATAAAGAATAACTTAGTAGTGCTCCGTTATGTATCTTTTAATTTGTTAACAATATTCTAGTAATGAAAGAACAATAACTTAGTAGTGCGCCATTAAGTATCTTTTAATGTGTTAACAATATCCTAGTAGTGAAATAACAATAGATGTTGGTGTGTTAACAATAATGAAGTTCATATAAACAAAAAACCCATTAATTTGTTAACAATGACACAATATACTAAATGTACTGCCAGCTACGTGAACTCGGAGAATAATAATAGGTCTATCTACACTTTAACAGAGTTTTTAGATGGATCTCAACATAGAAAAACACTTTATGATATTATTTTCGTCATGCTTACATTTTAATAAATTAACTAAAAATATTATATGACTTGATTAAAGGCTTTCATATTGACTGCATTGAAAATGGCAAATATATTTTGTTTCGCCTCTATTTTGTATTTATACGAAATCTCACAGTTGGACAAAAAAATTTTTTCTTTGGAATTTTTAGAGAGTACAATGTTTTCGATAAAAAGGGCTCATCATCAAAAAAATAATTTGAATTATTACATAATGTAAACACGTCGAATACAGAAACACCTACACTCTTCTTTAGCGAACTATTGCGGGAATGCACCACAACACCCACGGGGGGTAAGTAGCTGTAGCATCTTATTGATTTTATGATGATTATTACATGGTACAGAGGGAGGTTTTAGAGAGGCGTAGTTTCATCTGTATTCTTCTCATTTCGTTAAGTACATCAGTTATTTTAATGTTTAATTTAAATCCACACATAAACAACAGATAGACGCATCATATATTTTCCATTCCATTCTGGCTCACGAGGATCCTCATTTTGTTCTTCTTAAAAATCATAGTCTTTATCTTTCTCGTTTTAACTTACTATAAGCCTCGAGATTCTGAAAGCTTAGATCATCTTCTTTTTTTTTTAAATTCTAGCTTATCAGGATCCTCATAAATCCTCACGGTTCACATCTTTTCCGTTTGACATATATGAATCCTCATTTTGGTCATCGTATTCCATGTCTTTTCTATCTTGGTCTATCTCAATCCTCACTTTGGTTACCAGAAGTCGTTACAGTCCGTGTTACTTCTGTTTTAACTTGTCAATTCCTCATTCTGGACACTCCTAACCTAGTATAGTTTATATCTTTTCAATTCTAGCGTAAACAGTTCTCACTACTATTCTAACTTTTCAAGGTCCTCACATACTCCACTGTAATGTATCTTTGTTTCCATGACTACTCATCATATTTCTTAGTTTATTCGCTATAACTTAACACAGTGTTATTCTTCTCCATTCTAACTTACTTAAGTCCTTATCGAAACTCACACCTTACTTCAACTTACTTCTTCAAATTCTGTCTTTTCTTTTTTAACTTATCAAGGTCCTTGTCTCTAACATAATCACTCACCAAAGTCCTTAGTCCTTAATCTCCATTTTAACTTATCATAATTATTAGATTTGGACATAAAGATCAAATGGTTCTATTTATACAAATATATTTTAACGAACGTCTAGAAATGTCTTAACATGTCCATCTAATTCGTTCACCAAGTTCTAGTAACATTATTCTGCTTTAGACAAATATTGTATGATTTTAATATTTCTCAACTGGCAAAAGATGTTAAAAAAGTGGCATATTTCCTTTCTAATACCACGTGTTAATCTGACTTTAGATAACTAAAATATGCGTATTCGATAAGGTTGTGCATGGACACGACCACCATTTATAACGTCATATTGGTCAAGAAAGAGGCTGAAACATTGAAATTGGGGGTGGGTGGTTTAACTACAATTTTATTCTTCTGTATTTATTAGTATATAGTGACTTATTAACTTAAATTTTATTGCACTGTTCATTCAGGCATGTGGCTATTATAAGAACTGTGATTTCATCTTTTACGTACTACCACCAGAGGATGTTTACGACAAACTGTTTTTCTGTACCTATTTTACTGTTGTTGTTTAATTAAAAGCACCCACAACTAGCTAAAGACAGTGGAAGGAAGTTGTATATTGTTCATAGTGAGTATACTTTAAAAGTAGTATCGAAGTTTCTTCATTTCAAAAAAAAGAAAAAACCTAAAACTTGCACTTGTGTTAGTTTTTGAGAACACTTCCTTGACCGCTAATTTACTTTTTGAAAATACTGGAAAAAAACTAGAAGGTTAACAAAACGGTTTTAAAAATAATTACTGAAATACACTACGACGTCCTCCTATTTTGTTTTTAATAATGAATTGCATGGTCATAAAAATGTGATTCAATAGGGTCAAAGTTGGCTCCCTGTTTGTCCATTTTTTATCTGGAAAAGATAACATATGATTAGAATATTGTCTATAAAAATCCAAGCCAATTATATGTAGAAGATCCATAGATGATACATTTGTGGTTTATAATGAACAAGCCGGAGTAAAATAGTTTCAGTTGTTAGTCGTTATGGACTTGAGGACCCATATCTGCTACAGGACTTACACGAATGTGTAACTTGTGGATAACGACTAGATCTGATAGACGTTGTCTCATCGTTGCGCAGATCCTACCAGAATACATATTATCTCTGGCCATCCAGTGACTCAGCGGTACGTCTCGTGGCTTATAACACTAAAAATAGAGTTTCGATACCCTTAGTGGGCACATCACAGATAACTCATTGTGTACTCTTGTGCTTAACAATGAAACTAACAAACTATTTATTTGCAACAATCTTTGTTCTTGTCCTAGTTGTTTGGAGCTATAAAATCATCAAAATTAGGGAAATGTTTATAACTTCAACTATCGAGTTTTCTTAAAGCACAGACGCACTTACACATAGTAATTTTCTATTCTGACACAAATCTCTCCAGCAATCACCAATTACGGTCAACAGGCAACATTATCTGCTAGACATAATTTACTTACTTTACTAGTTAAATTCTTCTTACTTCGTGAAATTGAAAATCGAAACCAAATAAAGAAAGATATGAAATGAGGGATAATTCCGAGAGAGTATTGTATATCGCTGAGATGACAGGAAAGAGATGACTCCTCAACGACGAACGGACAGGTTTTTTTTTTGTTTGATTGTTTGAAAACATCGTCAACCCACGATATAATCCCTCTCGACTCTTTTCGAATGCTAATCCTTAGAAAATAGAGATCCTTGGTAGCGGACACCATTCAGCCTCATCTTGACAGTCGCTCACGTTTGCATGTTTCACGTGAGAAAGCTAAAGAACTGCTTGAATTTAGAGTAAGGAAAGATTGAAGTTTTCAGAAATTTACGCTCAGGTGACCATCAGCGTACTTAAAAAGGAAGATCGTTTATATATATATATATAATACTCCTTTCTGACGTGTAGAAATTAGACTCAAGATTTGAACAATATAAAAAGTTATGATTGCATCCAAAATCTTGAAGTAAACTAATAATCGACTCTTCGTAAAATACAAATATAACTCCCATGCAATGTCGACAAAGATCATGTGTTTAGTATAGACATTCAACAAGGTTACAATAATTTACTTATATTCATACAAGCAACAAATAAATCGATTAAATTCTACCTACACAAAATTAAAATAAAATGAACGGTATAATGTTTTGGTTTAATTATTGTAAATACAGAGATACTCAATGGACTTTCTGTACTCTGCCTAACACGGGTATCGAAACCAGATTTTTAATCGTAAGTCTGCAGACTTACCGTTGAGCTACTAGGGGCGTAAAGGTAGGAATGGAGCTCTTTACTAAAGTATATTAAAGGAAACAGTATACATTAACTTGTCGAACATTGAGAGTGTAATAACTACAACAGTATAAAATGAAACAGTTAGATACTGAGCATGTAATAAAAGAAACAGTACATAATGAAACTGTCGAAAAGTGAGTTTTTTTATTCCTTTGCTTTAGCGCAAAGATAATCAGAAGACTATATGCACGGTGTCACAACAGAGATCGAATCCTGAATTTGAAAGTTATAAGCCCTCAAGCTTGCCGCTGAATCATCAAGGTACGAAACCTGAGGATATAATAATACCAACGGTATAAAATTAAAATTATAGAAACCGCTAGTGTAGTAAAAGAAACTGTATAACACTGAACTATAGAAAAAAAAAGGTGTGTAAAAAAAGAGCAGGATAAAACTAAGCTATAAAAAAGTGAGTGTAGGTAAAGGAATAGATCGATAAAACTAAATTATTGACAACTGAGTGTAAGTAGAGGACCAAAACCAAATTAAACTACAGAAAAACTAAGTGTAGAAAAGGGAACAGGATAAAACTAAACTACAGAAAACTGAGTGTAGAAAAAGGAACAGTATAAAATAAAATGTTTAAAACTGAGTGTAGGTAGAGGAATAGGACAAAACTAAATTACACAAAACTGAATGTAGGTAGAGGAACAGGATAAAACAAAACTATTGAAAACTGAGTATAGGTTGAGAAATATGATAAAACTAAACTACACAAAACTGAATGTAGGTAGAGGAACAGGATGAAACTAAATTATTGAAAACTGAGTGTAGGTAGAGGAACAGGGTAAAACTAAACTATACAGAATGAATATAGGTAGAGGAACAGGATAAAACAAAACTATTGAAAACTGAGTGTAGTTTGAGAAACATGATGAAACTAAATTATTGAAAACTGTTTGTAGGTAGAGGAACAGGATAAAACTAAACTATACAGAATGAATATAAGTAGAGGAACAGGATAAAACAAAACTATTGAAAACTGAGTATAGGTTGAGAAATATGATAAAACTAAACTACACAAAACTGAAT